GGAAATTTCCAAATTCCTTTTCATTATTTATATATTTATCTCAGGTCAGGGAGAAAAAATTATCAACATTTATAATTTCTAAGGCAAACATTACAAGCATGCGCAAATCATGCCGAGGACGTATGGCTCGATCCAACAATAGTTAAATTGTGCACTGTCAGAGGGTCGAATGGCGCGAATCATAGATGCATCTATTTAATCTGCCAAGGCGTTCGGCCCGTTCCCAAATAAATAAACACATTCAAGCAGTCAACAAGGAATTCATCAGGGAGCAATTATTCAGGAAAAGGCAGGTTTCTCTTTTAAAAGTCAAGAAATGATGTCTAGTCTTTTAAAAATTTATTTATACATTCAATATGTGTTTAAGCATTTTTAAATTGACAACAAGGTTGCAAATATTACAAGTAAAGTATGCTTTTGGGCCTTAGACTACCCCGACTTATAATCCAATTTATAAAATTTTCTAACCCCGATCGAAAAGTTGACAAAAGTGCCCTCAGGACCACGTGCCCAGATTCCAAAAATTTTCGAAGATAAAGTTTACCCCCACCTCACGAACTCAAATATATAATTGGCTCTCAATTTCATGTTCAAAATCGTGGTCAAAATCTAAGAATATAAATTTTCTAGGTTTTCTTCAAAATCCCAAAATTTCTACTAATTTACATGATTTTCCATGTTAAAATCTAGATATAATCCAAGTGATTAACTTGCAATAGGTGGGAATCACCTACCTTAACATGGATGATGAAAATGGAGCTCCAAAATCGCTCCTAAATCGTCTCCCATGGAGGAAATGAGATGAAATGATCCAAACACATTTCTTTACACTTATACACTGCCCAGATGACTCTTCTTCGAGTTCGCGAGACCCCCGTCGTGTTCGCGAAGAAGAAAATTCCCAAAAACCATTTTTCAAACTCCTCTCAGATAGCATCTAGTATAATAGCCATAACTTTTTGTACAAAATTCCAAATAACAATTGGTTTAATGGTTTGAAAACTAAAGACCAATATCTAAAACTTTCATCTTTTGTAAATTTCCCAATTCCTTATATTTTTTGAGATATAAGCTGCCAAAGTTAGCCCTGTGCAACATAAATTTCTTCTTTATCTTCCCGGACAGCCTGTAGTGTACCAGCCATAACTTTTCGTACACAAATTGAAATGCTAAATGGTATACCTTTTTGAAAACTAGACAGAAAGGAATACAACTTTCCTTTTTGTATCATCTTCAAATTACTTGTAGATGGTGAGATATGAGTCGTCGAAGTAAGACTTGCGCAACAAAAATTCTTCTTCTTCGCGAACGCGAAGAACAAAATCCAGAAGCCAAATCCTTTTTCGCGAACGCGAGAGGACCCTCGCGGACGTGAAAAACAACACCAGACACCAGCATCAGCTATATCAAAACAGCCCAAAATAATCCGAAACCACCCCGAAACACACCTGAGGCCCCCGGGACCCCATCCAAACATACCAACCAGTCCCATAACATAACACGGGCCTGCTCAAGGCCTCAAATCACATCAAACAATGCTAAAACTATGAATCGCACTCCAATCCAAGCTTAATGAACTTTAGAATTTCAAACTTCTATATTCGATGCCAAAACCAATCAAATCATGTTCGATTGACCTCAAATTTTGCACACAAGTCATATTCGACATTACAGACCTACTCCAACTTCCGGAATCGAAATCCGACCCCGATATCAAAAAGTCCACTTCCGGTCAAACTCCTCAAAACCTTCAAATTTCTATATTTAGCCAAATTACTCCAAAATGACCCATGGACCTCCGAATTCACTTTTGATCGTGCTCCCAACACCAGAATCACCATACAGAGCTATTCCCATACTAGGAATCCCAAACGGATATCGATAACACTAATATGTACTTCAACCCAAACTTATGAAATTCTTTCAAAATGCCAACTTCCACAATAGGTGCCGAAACATTCCCGGATCTTCCAAAATCCGATCCAGACATACGCCCAAGTCCAAAATCATCATACGAAACTGTTAGAACCTTTGAATCCTAATTTCGAGGTCGTTTACTCAAAAATCTAATCTTAGTTAATTCTTTCAATTTAAAGCTTCCGAAATGAGAATTCTCTCTCTAAATCAACTCTGAACTTCCCAGAATTCAATTCCGACCATGCATATAAGTCATAATACCTGAAGTGAAGCTACTCAGGGCCCCAAACCACTAAACGATGTGCTAGATCTCAAAACGATCGGTCGAGTCGTTACAAGAGATAGTATTGGTTTTGATGGTCCATAATTTTCTATCTTTACTCCTACTCCTCCAATTACACAGATGAGCAATGATGAGTGTTTGTCTATGGAGGTTAAAGGAAATGTTGAAGAAGATCTTGGTTGAGGTAAAAGGAATAAGAAGCTTAGTTGGCAATTGAAATCTCCTTTTGAACAGCAAAGAAAAATAGGAACATCGATGGCGCACAATGAAAATACTCCCAAGAATACGGGCTGGATAAAATCAAAATATGCTCGTACATGTATTTTTCATTATGGCAAAGATGATGCAAACTTATTGAAGACATTCATTGGGTGGTTGGGCAAGGAGAAAAGGAAAGGTCGCAAAAAACTTAAGCCTCTAAATGTATTTCATTATTTGTTAATTGCTTAAATTCGTGTCCTGAACTTGTATATTTTAAATTCCTAAAGTTAAGTGTCCTTAACTTTTGAGATTGCAGGTCTAAGTTCATGACCAAGTGTCCTTAACTTTTGAACTTGTAAATGTAAGTTCAGTACTAAGTGTCCTTAACTTTCGAACTTGTAAATATAAGTTCAGGACCAAGTGACCTTAACTTTTGAACTTGGAATTCAAAGTTCAGGACCTTTTGCCCTTAACTTTTGAACTTAGAACTCGAAGTTTAGGACCTATTGTCCTTAACTTTTGAATTTAGTAGCTTAAGGTCAGGACCAAATGTCCTTAATTAGGAAATGAGGACTAACTTCTAACTTTGATATTTTCAAAATTTTCAGGGGAGAAACTGACATATATGCTCACAATAATGGTGTGAGAAAGAATCCATATAAATTGTACCATCAAAAAATCAGTAGCAAAATGTTCCTCCTTAAGCTTTCAGATAGTAGATTTGTACTTGATGATAAGGTTTGATAATTCGCAAGACATTTATTTTCTTTATTCTTAATTTATTATTTTTTAATTATTTATGACTGATGGATTTGTTTTATTTTTTTTGCTTTTTATGAAACATATTGACATTGCCCTGCATTATTTGAGAAAGAAGGAATGCTACCACCCTCGCGCCCATTCTTTTCATTGCACAACTACAGATATACTTTTTGATAATTATATGGTTCTTGTATATAAGGATTTCAATGAAGATGTTATAGCTGAGTTTTGGTGTGGTGATAATCAATTATTTCTAACACCATATGTATGGGGTGACAGTTGTAGATATGGAATTGTTTGGACTGAGGTTGACAAAATCTTTTTTCTATGTCGGCTTCCTTCAGAAGATGATGATGTTGTGACACATTTTTTTGTGGGGGTATTGGACTTGAATGAGAAAAAGAATGATGTGTACGATTCCATATCTAGTGATCCATATGAGGTAGGAATGAATCACATTGAAATATATGCACGCATGATCCCCCACTTGCTAAAGTTCTCACAGTTTGAGAAAAATCACAAGTCTTTTGGAAATGCATTCAACAAATTTGATATTCAGTGGCAAAGGTCACTACACCAAACTGGATCGTACGTGTTGTCATTTGCTATATAATTTATATGTACTTTAGATTTATTTTATTAAAGATATTATTTAATTGACTCCGTATCTTACATTTTTCTTAGGACTGATTGTGGTGCATTCCTAATCAAGTATGTGGAGTTGTTGATGATTGGAAATGATGTGGAGAAATTCCAACCTGAAGACATAACAAACTTTAGAAAAGAACTTGCAACAAATCTTTGGGCACACGGAGAGTGGAAAAGAAATTCTGATTATGATACACCACTAGAAAAGGTTGGCAACGACTATGATAGCGAAAATAAAACTTGCTGCCCAAAGGCGCTGTAGTTTAGTTGTAAAGAAAGTTAGTTGTTGTTGATATTTTGTATAAAATTGCTGTAAACAAGGCACTTTTATTTTATTTGCATATCATAATTTTTGGTCACAACTATGCCAAATTACAGTTTCGGAAGTAGTATGAAGGCATCATGTTATTAATTTCTTTGTTTCTGTCAAGTATTGATTTGTCCATTTGCAATCCCTAAATTAAGTGTATTGAGCTTGCAAGTATTAGTTAAGGACCAAGTGTCCTTAACTTTTGAACTTGGAAATCGAAGTTCAGGACCAGATGTCCTTAACTTTTGAACTTAAAACTTGAAGTCCATGACCAGATGTCCTTAACTTTTGAACTTGAAATTTGAAGTTCAAGACCAAGTGTCCTTAACTTTTAAACTTGGAACTTGAAGTTCAGGACCAAGTGTCCTTAACTTTTGAACTTGGAATTCAAAGTTAAGGACCAAGTGTCCTTAACTTTTGAACTTGGAACTCTAAGTTAAAGACCAAGTGTCCTTAACTTTTGAACTTGGAACTCTAAGTTAAGGATTGCTTGTCCTTAACTTTTGAACTTGGAACTCAAAAGAAACAAAAAGAATGTAAGCGCAAATAAACTTTGAATATTCAGGATATCTACTCAAATAAAAATAATCTAAATTAATCCAATTTATAGCAAAAACGTAAAAGAGTAGATAAACATAATTGTATATATCTACTATTCTCTATGCTTCCTTGAAAATGGATGGACTGCTGGAGAATATATACAAGTTGTTCTATTATGACCAATTCTTCTGCAACGATCACATTTGAATGTTATTTTTGATGACTCGGTAGCTGGAATATGCCTTTTCTTCTGCCTTCTACCTGGTGACACTTCGAAATTTGGAGGTTTAATAATTTGTGATTTAACACTCTCTGGTACAATCTAAGAATTAGTATGTCCTACAGATGTATTTGTCTTTCATATGTTTTCAGCCAAGATTCCTTTAAGTACCAGTGCGAGCAAAAGTTGGACTTCTTGATGTTTCTCTTCTCAATAGCTGCAATTGCATGTATGCATGGTAATTCATCAAATTGAAACTGAAAATAATCACATGTTCTTTTGTTTAAGTCCACCAAGAAAGTAATTCCTTCTTCCTCAACTCTAGAGCGCCATGAATCAACAGGGAAGACCTTCAATGTTGAAAAATTATAAGTTAATACATTATGTTAAATTATCATTAAAATAATAAGCAAACAAAGAACATAATACTTACATTAGAAGTAAATGCTAAATCTATCTTTTTCTTCAATTCCTTTTCTACCCAACAAGAAACGTCATAAAAAGTTACTTCTGCTTCATTTCTTCTTTCATAAAACCAACGTTGCAGCTTCACCTGGATGAAATCCATCATTCTTAATATAGGCAGCTCCCTTGCTTCTAATAGCACAGAATTCATTGACTCAACTATGTTTGTTGTGAGCATGTCATATCTTCGTCGTGGACTACAAGAACGTGCCCGCCTTTCCGGTGGTTCTTCCATCAAGTAGTCATAAGTCTTCTTATCTACTTACGCTATATCTGACATGTATAGATCAAATTCTTTGTGCCCGTATACTCTTGCAACATTTTGGAAAAGTTTTATGACCTCACTTTTCACTTTCCTTCGCTTTAGGTTCTGCTCCAAATGGTAGATACAAATCCCGTGATGGCTTTCAGGGTATACCTTTGCAATGTCATATGCAATAGCCTGATGCATGTCTGATAAAAAAATTAAATTTTCACGGCTCCCAATTGCATTGCGAAGCTCACTAAAGTACCACTCATAGGAATTGTTATTTTCAGATTCTGCAATTCCAAAGGCTAGTGGGAAAATTTAGTTATTTGCATCCTTTGAAAATGAAATCATTAAAATACCACGAAATTTTGACTTAAAAAAAGTTGCATCAACAGCAATCACTGGTCTACAATGATTCTAACCAGTTATTGATGATCCATATGCGTAAAACATATAAAGAAACCTGAAAATACAGTATAATAGAAGGTTAACAGAATTTAAGGACATGTAGTCCTTAACTTAGACTAACAAAGACAAAAGTTAAGGACAATTAGTCCTGAACTTCAAGTTACAAGCCCAAAAATTTAGGACAGGTAGTCCTGAAGTTAGACTTCCAAGGTCAAAAGTTAAGTACATTGGTCCTTAACTTAGAGTTACAAGTTTAAAAATTAAGGACATGCAGTCCTTAACTTAGAGTTACAAGTTTAAAATTTAAGGACATGCCGTCCTTAACTTAGAGTTACAAGCTCAAAAGTTAAGGACATAGAGTTCTGAACTTAGAGTTACAAGCTCAAAAGTTAAGGACATAGAGTTCTGAACTTAGAGTTACAAGTTCAAAAGTTAAGGACAGACAGTCCTTAACTTAGAGTTCAAAGTTAAGGACCAAGTGTCCTTAACTTTTTGACTGCACACATCAAAAACTAGTTAAGGACAGCATGTCCTAAATTTTATAAAATAGACTGATAATCTCTTTTTTGATTGTTTACCTGTTGTTGTCGTCTATCTTTATGTTAGTATATGTTCCCGCATTTTTACTTTTCATCATATACAAGTATGAAGACAATAATTCATAATTCTCTTCAGGAGTTCCTCTTATTAAAGCTGAAGCACGTTGAATAGTATGCTACGCCTTGTGATACCCAATGTCTAGTCCATGCAATTTTTACATTTTTGCCATGACAAAAGCTGGTGTAACTTCAAACCTTGGGTCTTGAAGATTGTCAATAATGTAACCACTAATCAACTTTGAAGTTGTATGCCTTTGATCAGCTTTCATAGCGTTAACTGAGCAGTCATGATTTTTCTCAATCTTTACTATCTTGAACAGTGTTGAATCTTTAACTCTGAAACCACGCACACACCACCCACACCTATCATCATTGCATTTCAACGAATATCTTGTTGAGCTTGATCCAACAATGGTGAATTCAAAATGTCCTTTAATTGCTATATTCGAAAAATAATTAATTATATTTTTCTTTTTGTCAAATATTGATCCCACTTTTATTTTATTCGACGAAGCATTTTCTCTTAATATCGTAGTTGGAGATTCTTTTTGTTTCGAATTTGAGCTTCGTCTAGTTAGTTGAGTAGAGGTTTTTTAGCAACTTCTTCTATTACCGGTGCACTCTCTAAGACTTGAATACCCAAAGCTTGTTCGTTGTCAATCTCTATAATACTTTGTCCTTCCACTTGAATAGAATCAAATGTTTGAAGCACCTCTTCAGTTATTGGTTTCAACCATATCTATATCCATTATCTGTTGGCATTTGTTTTGATTGTCATGTTTATTTTCTCTGTTGACATGTTCAAAGGTGCTTGTAAATCCAAAATTTCTTTCCAAAACATCAACAATGAAACGACAACCCTTGAAGAGTGAATAATCCCTTGCCGAGATGGGTAACTATGATTATTGCTGACTGTATATTTGGAACGGGTTGCGCGCCGTAACATTATTAGATATCATATTGGATCGGGTTGCACGCCGCAACAGTTATATATGTGGATCAGGTTGCACGCCGCAACAG